TTGCACTTTGAAATTAAAGTATGATTAAAGTTTGTTTACGTGAATAATTTATTTCTAAAGTAATTATTAATGAATTTAGTCTAAGCTTAAGTCTGAGAATGTTTAATTTAATTTCACAAAAGCTCATGTTTTACTGTTTCTCTCTCTCTCTCTCCCTCTGTCTATATCTCTTTCCTTCACTTCACATTTTTTCTTATCCTTTCCCAATAAATTTTCCAAACAAAAAAAGCGGCGCCATTTGTTATGCATTCAAAATCAATGCTTGCTTACCTATTGAGGTCAAAAATTTTCCATTATTGTCACCAGAAGTATTATAATGCATGAACAGATCCGTTGACCTTTCCTATTTTTTTTTATTCAGCAACTCTGAAATTGTTTTCATTAGCTGAAAGGTTTATCGCTTTAAATTGACAAAATTACAATGAAATATGTATGGGACGGAAAAGATTATTGAGATTTTTATTACGATGCAATAGTTTGAAATTGCAATGGTCAGTATTCTATTTGGTATAATTATTGTTTATAATGACCTCTTTTTTTTTAATGCTTGACATCTCCAAAATACTCTCTCGACTTTGTTGCATACATATATAAATGCTTCTTCTCACGAGACACATTGATGCTATCTTCGTGCTCGTTCGGGAATACGGGGAAGAGCGCGATTGTTTATTACACATATTATTTTATTTTATCTCTCAATTTCTCCTTCATTTTAGTTCAAATATTTTAGAAGAAAAAAAAATAAAGGAAAAGTTATTCAATTGTATTTAAAGCTTAATTTAAATGAAAAAAATATGTTCATTCTCTCTTTTTTACCACTTTCGCAGTTAATTTTTTATTTTAAATGCAATTTTAAAAACTCTTATATTTGTTTGTTAAGTTCCTTTTTAAAATATACACTTGCCTAAAAGCAAATTTTTATGAGATGCAAATGTAATTACTATATTTTGTAAAACTGTTTAACAGTTAAATTTTTAATGCATCAAAGTAATTGAAATTTAATTAATAAATGGAACTGTATCTTATAATTAAAAGGAAAATCAGGAAAACTTGACTTGAAGATATTAAAACTTTTATTCGGAACCATTGCCATTCAATCAGATGAAATTGTTAATTTTCAATCACTTCTATATTCTCGCTTCAACAATTTTGCATGACAACTGTTTGTTTCTTTTCACTTTCTTTTCTTGACATATTCTCATATTATTTTGGAATTTTAATAGAAAAACTCCAATTTTAATTCCAATCGTTATTTTGATTAGTTGCAATTCTAATAAATTTTTTTCTCTCTGATCATTTGATAAATTTTAGCCGTTAAGCGATTCTGACCTCATCAACTGCAGCAGCATCAGTGAAGAAGAAGAAGCACCGCCGGTATTGAGAATTTTTGAAATTGACGATTTGCCGTTGCATCGTGGCGATTTCACATCACAGCACGCAATTATGGTACGATCGAGACAGCTCTCCGAAGTATGTTTTTTTTCTTCATTTTATTAAAACATTAAATAGTAACAGTAAGGCAAGAAAATTTTACATTGATGAAAGCATAGTGGAAATAATTTGAATTGGAAATCAAATATTATTAAATGATGGAAGAAATTTATGAATGAATTCACAAAATATAAAATTAATATTGAAAAATGTGGCATTAAATAATGATAAATATAAAATTAAACTATGAAATCAAATATTTGCTTTGATAATTGCACGTGAATGCTTTCTTTATGAAGCAAATTTAGTTTATTCTTATTCTCTAATGCAATACGGTTTCTTCTTTGTAGAGAATTTTTTTTTTTGGTAAATATTTAAAATTTCAAATTCTAAGAGAGGAATATTTTTGTAATTTTATAGCTTAAATATAATAAAGTTTTGCTTTCTTAGAAACAATGCTTTGAATAAATCGATTTTAAAACTTCCCTTATTCTGCTATTTCTCTTTCATTTTTTAATTTCAAGATATTTTTATCTGATGGAAAAAAGCTTTTCGAAATGAATGATGAGAATAATGTCATTCATCAAGTGCAAAAAATGATGATGACTGTAGGCGCAGTTTTTCCACAGAACAACGGTTGACCTTGTACCTGAGTGCGCCATCGATGGAGAACTCTCTCTCCCTCTCTCTTCGTTTCCTCTAATGAGATTTCAAATTCTTTCTTATTTCATTACTCCTTTCAGTGTTTTCTTCTTCGTAATGATCCCTTTTCATTACTTCCAATGCGTGCACTTTGCTGCTTTTGTATAGCTTAACCGACAAGAGGCGGCTTTCTTCTGCATGCAAATAAAATTTTCATTAATTGAAGGAGCGGATACATCTGTGCTCAAATTCTTCCAAAGGGATGTGCTTTAATAGCCTATTTGAAATTGAATAATTTCAAATTATTCAAATTAATGTAATTACAACAAAACTAATTGATATTTTTATTGTTGTGAAAATTCTAACAATATGAGGCATATTTAACAATTTCCTAGCCTTTCGATTTTTAAATTTGCAAAAATATGATACAAAGATAGGGATTTAATAATAAATATAATAGCATCATAAACTACTACAGTATAAGCAATATATTTAAATAATATCTGTATAATATTCATTACATAATAAACTATTACAGTATAAGTAATATCTGTACAGACGGTAATTCTTTGATAGTAAAGAGGAAAAATCTCTTTTTGAGAATCATATCATTTTTCTCCTTTGACAATCTTTTTTTTTTGATCCCAAAAGAATGGTAGGTTAAAGTTAAAGCTAAAAAGTTTAGATTTATTAGAATGGCAAAAGCAAATATGAAATAAAATTATATTTCATAAGCAAATATGAAATAAAAAAATATGAAATAATATAACAAAGGTTAAATGTTGAAATGATGTGAATAATTTAACTTCAAATTCTCCACACTGTTCATCTTTTTTTAATTCTGTTACACACATATTCTTTCCTTCCGGTAATTTGAATACTCTTGTCAGCTGATATTATCTGTCTGGGAATTGTCTGTAAATTTATCTTAAATTTAATCAGTATGGTTAAAATTGCACCTTAGTTATTTCGAATTAATATCATCATGTCCAGTGCATCATAAAAAGCCTGAAGTTGCTTTTCTGTGCTTGCCATGGAAAAAAATAATGATTAAACAGCAGAAATTACCGAATTCGCAGAATAATTCATCTTCTCCTTTTCTCCTTTATCACTATCAATTCATTATCACCATAATTTTCAATACAGTTTAATGACACAAACCTTTCACCTTTTCATTTCAATTATTATTTCATTTTAGGCTCGAAAAAAGTGAACAAAGTTTATCAAACTTTTTTAGTGAACTTTTTTGGAATGAATACAATTTTTGAGCTTTAGCCTGCGACAATGATAACCTGTCGAAGGTTGTTGACCTTAACAGGCGAATAACAGCAAATATTCTCACCAATGAAATAAAAAAAAAAAGTGAACACTTATCGTTCGGAAAAATCAATGACTGATGACCGAAAATATTTTGGAGCACTCAGAAAACACAATTAATTATCATTCTATCGATTTTCAATTTCCCGCTCATCGAGAGAGAATATTTGTCACCAACATAATGGACATAGAAAAAATGTGTTAAATTATACAAGCTTGAGCTTCCACTTTAGGATTCGAATACACTAGTGATAACGCCAAATATCTTTGATTTTCAAATTATCGAATTCGTCAAAATCCTACACCATTCAAAAATTCACATGTCTAACGAGATGAACGCCATTTGAAATGTCTCTGATCCGATTTTTTTTTTTGCTTTGAAATGACTAAAATAGACTGCCAATCTTGCATAATCAATTATATATAATTAACATTAATTATGTAATTAGCAATCAAAAATATCTCATAGACTCGATAGTTACCTGTTGAACAGTAATGGAAAGTGTTCCAATTGCATTGATGTGTGAAATTAAAAGGACCGAAAAATAGTAATAAAATATGACCTTTCGGAAAATGTTCAAAATTCGTCTAAAATTTCAGCTTTTCTCCATCTCCAGAAAAGCCTATCAATTTGCTAAATTTTAGTTTGATGTAATTTTTGCTATGAAAAGCTGTAATTGTTTTCTTAGTAAATCATTTAATTTTTTTAAATATAATGAAAACGACATGCATAGTTGAACAGCGAGAAAATATTTAAATATATGAGAGTTGCAGGAGGCGATGATAGAAAATTATTCGAATTTGATATTTGCTTACTTCACATTAAATTAATATGTATTATGTTGAATAGCTTGAAATTTAATCTTTTAAATAATTGGTGAAGATGAAATTAAACATTCATTTATATCTTTTTTCGATATCAACGTTATATCGTAACTGACTTGGTTTTGTATTAATAGCTAATACATTAAAAAATCTATATTTCATGCACAAATTTCAAAAATAAATCAAATTTTCATTTGCTCATTGAAGCCTGAAATCAAATGAAATTGAGAGTTTTGAATCAATAAGCTATCAAATTGACAACAAAATAAATTTGAAAAAAAACCGACTATATAGTTTATAATAAAATTATTAATGGGTTGATTGTGCTGATAAAACAGAAATTTTGTTTTTGTTTCAGAATTGAATCAAGCAAAAATCTAAAAATAACAAGAATTTGTTTTTTTTAACTAGCTTATAAAACTTCTTACACGAACATTTTATTTTCATTTTAATGCTTGTGAATAGAAATATTTTGTGTTTTATTTTAAGTGAGATTTGATTAATTGTATGTTTCATTTTGTCTCGTTTTATTTGAATAATAAAAAAAACTTTCATTGTTGGGGAAATGATTGCTTATTTTCTGATCAAACAAGAATTCTTTAAAAAATTGAAAACAAAATATTTATTTATCAACTTGCTTATAATAAATATAATCCAGATTAATAAAATACTTAAACTTAATATCTTGGCTTTCTGTACAACTACTCCTCCAAGGTAAATTTAAAAATTGGAAATGATTCAAGTTGCATGGCAAAAAGTATAACTCATTGCAGATAGCAGGCCTAATGGATGAATCAACCTCGGACCAACCGACACTGAAACGTTTTTCACGTTACAATCAATCGATGCATTCTCGACCGCCCTCTCATATGTGTGATCTACAACCTGGCTCTTCTTATCAACAACAGCAGCAACAGCCACATACGTGTTCCAAAGTGTACGTATTATACGTGAGACTTATGAAATATTTTATGTTTGCTTGTCAAGGAAAAGCAAACACCAAAAATATTTCACATAATTTGACGAGGAAAAGAAGGAAGAAATATAAAAAAAATAGTACTTGTAAGCATTAAATGGTTAGAGTTGAAAATTGAAAAAATCCTTGTGATTGTTAAAAAATTTATTATTTTTTTCCGAATCCTTTTTTTGAAACTTTGAATTTTTATCATTAAGAATTCAAAATTTCAAGGTTAAAATTATTAAAATATTTGGAAGAAGTTGATGGAAAAGTAATTGCGTTTTTTTTGCGTTATTGAATTTTTAAA